ATTATTATTATTATTATTATTATTATTATTATTATCCTTAGCAATATTGGTGATTGCGTTGATTCTAGATGCATATATTTTGTTTCAAAAGTCTGTGCCAGCAGATTATGCTACGCTATTCTGATATTTTTTAGGTAGACTAACAGACACTTGTCGGCAGTCGTCAACTGAAAAATTTCTGCAATTCAAAAAACAACAGAGAATTAGATGTTCATTTGCTAAAATTTGCCAGCAGCTGATATTTAGCATTCGTTGCGTCAATAAAGTGACACAAAAGGTACAAACCCTATAGGTAAAAGGGTCTGTCATTCTTTTTAAGCATACTTGATAATCGACAAACATGCATTGTGAAGTACTGGAAGAAAAACCGAATGGTCTATCGTTTCGAGATGAATGTGATTTGCCAAATTCGATCATTGTAACAAATGTACCTCCAGAGGTCAGATGGTTTCTTTTTTAAATAGTTTTGTGTAGTGAATGAATTGAATGACAAAGAATTTTTGGAGAATATAGTTTTACTTGTTTGTTTAATTTATTTGCCAGAATAAAGGACAATTTTGGAAACAAATAGGTGGTGAGCAAAGTGTAATTGGTCCATCGCAAAATGTAATTGTACTGGATTATTTTCAGGTGTTTTCTGACGATGAACAAAAAGCAAATTTTTCAAGTTTATTTACGGAAATTGAAAGTGATGCTCATTTTGATTTTCTACGAAGTTTCCGACGAGTTCGTGTGATTTTCCGTTCTGCGAAAAGCGCCACAGCGGCGAAACTTTTAACGCAACATTTGTCGTTCAACGGGACGACCTTAAAAGCATTTTTTGCCCAAGTCAGTTGCATTATTTCTTGCACAGCTAATGTTTATTTAATTTTAGCACAATTGCTTCGTTTTTACTCAGTTAGAGCTTGGTAACTTAAAATTTGGAAGTTGTTTTCTGGGACATGCCAACTGTGAAATGGGACACGTTAGTTGAGCTTTTTCTAGAAAATACGACTAGAAGAATCCGCGGAAGATAACCTGTTAAAATTGCCACCGCTTGAAAAACAGTTTTTGATTTCTCCTCCAGCTTCTCCGCCAGTCGGTTGGGAACAGTGTACCGAAATGGCCCCTGTTGTTTGTAATTTCGATTTGATGGCGAGACTGGCAGCATTCAGCGTCGAAGACAGTTATGAGGTTGAGAGTTAATTACTCATTGTAGCTAGCAAATAGATTGTGTGGTAACGTTTAATGACAATTAGTAGTCTTCACATCCTTGTCGTCCGACTTTCCCGTTCATCTTCATGTCGAATATTCTGAAAAACATGAATTGTCTTTAATATCGCTAGCCTTTGGTCACACCAAACATTTTTGAATTACAGATATTTGGAGGTGACGATGATAAACCAAAAATCGTTGTGCAGCCAGCTGCAGAATCTGATGAGTCGCCAGTACCGCAGGGCTCCATTGCCCACACACCACGCCCACCGACCCCACGACCAACACACAAACACATAACATGTTGAAGTTATAGGAGAGTCTGGATAAAGGAACCAACAGCTTCGGAATAAAATTACGGGGAACTGTCGCGCGGATACACAGTCATTCAGCGTAGTTACTTCAATGCACTTTTCTGTACAGCCCAAAGAGTAACACTTCATTTTTAATTTATTGTTTTTTTTTTATTTTTTGCTGCTGCTTACAAGTGGCTGTGAACTTTATTGTTCAACTCATATTAGCAGTGAAGGACGGACTTTTTCGTCCACTGAGCAGCTTTAAGTGAAGTACTGTTCGTGTTTCATGGGAGTAGGAATCCCACAAGTCTGGTTAACTCACTTTTGCCATAATGCTGTAGAAGCTGTTCCTAGCTAAACAGTGAGCTACCAGGCCCACTCGCCCAATCATCAAAGTTTTAGCTTTACAAAATTAAAGACTGCTACTTAAATCCGGTCCTAATTACTTGGTTATTGAAACTTTGTTTCTTGTACAGTATTGATCTTTGTTCAAAAAAACACGTACCGAATGAAAATGTCATATAAAAGGTAAAAATTGTAGTCTTCTTTTACGCATTTACTGGATTGCAAAGAACGATGTAACACCAGGCAATGTTGTTTAATAACAGAAGCGATTAGTTAAGATTCATCAAGACGGAAAAGACAGGTGAAGGAACGGCAAGAGATGAACTGAACTCTATAAATGTTCGGTTGAGAACTTTAAATAACAGTAAAATGACAATCCACAGGGCATAATACTTCAAAGAAAAATGAGATAACCAAGACTAACAATCACGACCGACCCATTATATCGAAAACGAGTGCAATATCACCTGCTATTATCTGATAAAGGCTCAACAGTTAAAGCAACCAGGAAGCTCAAAGTCAATTTCCAAATTTGAGAGGGATCCTGCCAAAATGCTTATAAGGACTGCTAGAAATTACTCTAACACCTGCTTGGTGCTTGAGGACTGGTAACGTTATTGATACAATCAGGAAAAATCCCCATGTAGCAGTAAAACCGGATCAAACCTCTATCAAACAAAACTACAGAATTTCCTCTTTGACAGAATGGGTGGGGCTTCGAAGTCTTCCCCGCCTACAAAAGGCAACTAAGACACTATCAAAACAGTCACGTCTCTTGCTATAAATGTTTATATAAATGGCTAAAAAAACTATAGAGGCACCCAACAGATAATCAGCAGTAAACGGTTTTGCAAACAAAATGAAGGATAGTACTATAGTGATTGTTTTACGTACTGTTGTTACTGTAACAGCCACTAGAGCTCCAGAAGTTCGTATTAGTGTTAAAACCACATCGATCCCAGCAAAACCAAATGTTGAAAAAATAAATGCACATCCATAAGTGTGCAAAGGATGCTGAAAAAAAAACTAAAATACGGCAACCAAACCCACATGGCTGTGACAATAAAGGCTGTCATTGAAAAGGAAATTAGCTTTTCTGATGGCAGAAGATTTAGAGAATTAAATATGAAGTCACTTAAGTGTAGTTCATAAAAAATAAATTACCTCCCAAAAAAATAAAAACCCGCGTTGAAGTTGGCCAGTGCATATGTTAAGTAATAAAATATATAGGCAACCAATAGAATACGAGTACAGAACCTACAATTAACTATAAAAATAAGTTCAACCCAGTTTTTACTGAAACCTCCTCACAGCAAAGCGAAAAACTATGCGAAGTTTTAGTTTTGAAATTTTAGCTAGTATTCAAAAAATAATTAAACTCTAACCACTTCATTATTAGGAGCTTCATAACTTCTCATTGCTTTTTCTTGTACGTTACCAATTATCGCGTCAGCGACTAAAGCTAAGGATATCATGATATAACCCGTTGGATCAAAATTAGGCAATACTTCACTGTCAGCAAGGGTAAAAATAATCAGTCCTAAGCTCATTAGACCAGCAGCTAATACATCAAGTAACCCGTAACGTTTTCCTTAAAAACTATTCATTACACAAGAAACCTGTGAAAATACTAACAGCCCACAGATCTTTCCGAGTAACATCAATATTACCAATAACAGGCTTCTGTAGAAACTAATAAAAAATCCTCACAAATAAATTAAATCCCTGTACACGTACGATTTACATTCAAAAGCACGGTAGTTTTTACAACAACCGTATTACCTCACTTCTTTCGTTGTCGCAGCACGCTGTGCATGTTGTACAAGTACTATGGAATAGCGGGGAAAAGAAAATGGTTTTAAAAATGAATCTAAAATTTAATTTTCACTTGATCAAGGCAAGATGTAGTGAACTTGGATACCTTGTATAATGATTCCACCAACAAGGACTGGAATCAATTTACAGCACTTGAACACTACTTGAGTCGGATAATTAAGATAACCAACAGAAGCATTAGACAAACCCATTGTAGCGACGGTAAAAAATGATATTTTTAAATATGTACTATATGGAATTCTGAAATGACATTTTCCTAACTATTACACAGATAAAAAAACAGTAAATAACAGGTAATCATAAAATGACTGAAAAAAAAGCTAAAATAAGCCTGCTCCAAAGCCAACTTGTATATTACCTCCGCTGATTATCGTAATAAATTTTTTGAACAATAGAGGAATAAAAGCTATAGATGATGAACTGAATTAGTGTAAGGTACCAGCCAAGAGTTTGCATGCCATCCATTCGAAAAATTAGCTCCTAAATCTGTGCCAACGTGTAAAAAGACAAAAATTAAGAATACGAAATGAAAAATGTAGCGGTTAAAAAAATAAATCGAGTTTTACGATTCCTGAATAATAACACTTCAAAACGAACTAGCGTAAATCCGTATCCCAAATAAAAAACGAAGACACCGGCACTGAGGATGCAGAACTGCAAAAGATAAGACCTGCAAATTTTTGTGTAAAAATTTTACACGCAGCAACAAAGTGTTAATTAAACAACTCTAGATTCAGTTCTAAAAAACAAGACTGCCTCGGCAAAAAACTAACTTACAAGTGTGAGATATCAATGCCAAGTATAGTGACTTTCTGCAAATTTAAAGATGGACTAGCTTCCAATGGCAGCATGACTGTGAAACCTCACTAACTCTTGGAGACCTGTATATAAGGCATTTCATTTCCGGCCCGTCGCTAAAGGCGCATCCAACACGAAATGCGTGTCTGCTGGAAGAATTCCAACACTTTGAGCATGAAGCTTGACATAGTCAAGGTTTTGCGACAGCTCTAACGTACTTGAAAGGAATTCTTCCTGGAATAATACGTGTCACCACATTCCAACCAGAATGGACCAGGAAATAACAAAATATTGACTAAGAAATTTGGCAACACTGGGATGATAACTACTATTAAAAACCAATTAATATCTTCCACTAAGCATCTATAACGCTTCGTCGGTACCAGCAGTCATACTGAACCGTATAAAAGCAAGATACCACATGAAATCCAAATGTAACATACACCCCCATCAATGGGTCAGTAATCAACTACACCACAGCATAGTAACGCTTAAAAATGAATGTCAGTAATTAAAAATAAGACCCAAGCAGCCGAACCAATCCAGAAGTAGCTGTAATCCACCAAACTCATCACAGACCCTCCCAATCCACTTCATCACCCTCCCTCTCAACTTAAGCCTGTTTGCCGACGTTACAGAGAAACGAACATGTCACACGTCAAACCAACACTCCAGCCTCGCCAAAAACACGACCACCGCTGTAAAAAAGCTTTGAGCTGACGAAAAACATGTTACCCACCAGCGGCGACCTGCCGTCACAGCTCGCAAAACTCAAAACTGAACCCTGCAGCAAACTTTGCACTCCCAATATATAAGCAACTAGATGAGGAATCCTCATTGAGTAAACAAGCGAAATAGCTTTCTTCAACCGACGGCACCGTGTGTAGCCCATTATTCAAACGACTACTACTTCACAACAATATTTAATTCATAACAACCAAATCAAATTCACAAAACAGCAAGATATCTCATTTCTTCTTCTGAGATTCAAAATACTCTTGAAGGACCATTCTCGCCGCGTCGTCTTGGCCATAGTCTCGAACGACAGCACAGGAACAGCCAACAATCTTAAATTGAAAGAATTACGGCGAGTTTATTTTAACTTATTTCAGTGACTCTTGAGGGCAACTATAAACAGGGTATTTTCAATCGAAATAACCACAACAATCATAAACTACTTTATTTACCTTACTGACCTACAAGGCAAGCAAATTTCTCAGTAAAAAACTGGAAGCAACCAAATGTAAAAGTCATCCCAAAAATCTGATAATATAAAATAGAAGATACACTTCAAAGAACAGTAGTGTGAAGTATAAAACAGGAAAGTTCTCACCGCTAAAAACATTAAGAATGAGGCAAAAAAATGAGGATAACCGACTTTTCGGGGTTTTCCTTCCTTGTCATATTTGCACAGACCAGCCCATTCGCCAATCTTCTTCTTGTCCTTTGCTTTTATGAGAGCAATCTGGTGTTCAGCGCAAAGTGCTTCAACTAGTTTGGTGTACATAGCTTCATCGCAATTTTCAGCCAAAACGCAGAAATGTGCTTCTCTCCTAAATTAATCATTAAAAACCTGTATTAGAGAAGCCCAAAAACGACTCATCAAATAGTTAAACTTGCAAAAAAAAACTTACTTATCAAGAGCCTTTGCTGCTTCATGAAGTCCTTTAGCAAGACCATCAACAATACTTGCTGATCTCAGCGCTCTTTTAAGTGCTTCCTGCACGTCCAGTCTTTCCTCAGCAACTGTTGGTGCTGGCGCACTATCTCTGAATATAATCCGGCTGATTATACGTTGTTAAGGTATGGTACAGCAACCGATTTATTCATCTACTCCCGGATTTTAGATGGCACAACAATAAAATGCTCTCACTACAGCGGAAAGGAAACAAACCCAGAATAGGACTAAACAAGTGTATGGAGGAAGAACAATTAACGAGTCAATACACAGGCATTCGCGTTGTCCCGACTGTAGTTCTACTGACTTGCACAACCGATTAAATGTAATACCCCGTAGCCAAAAGTTAAAAACGTTGAATAAAATAACGTTAACATACCCTACTGCATCAACCATTATACTGCAGAGTCCTTGATAGTTGCGCTAATATTTTGCCCAAAACTTTTCCACAAGGGTAATAGTCCCCGCAGACTCGAACGTTGCCAGCCGAATGCAACTGGTCCTGCAGAGGTTCCCTTAGATGTCAACTTGGTCAACGTTTTGAAGGCGTTAACTTTTCACCTGTAGCAGCTTTATAACAGCTTTCATTGATCATTGCTGTGTTTTGATCGAGAGACTACAATCAGATTCGAGAGTAACCGAGGCATTGCCTCCAGATAGGGTATTCCAATTTAGTAACTTTGCAGAGTTTGAGTTTTCTTGCTTTCTGGACTCCTTTAAAGTTATCAGATCGTTGTGTACTTCTGCAAAGGTCAACGTCTTGTTATTTGAACCTTTCACGAGATAATCAGAATAAGTATTTGAGACGTAGAATTTCAGCCTGACTTTGCCGTGTTTTCAAGTGACCAGCCCAAAAAGTATCACAGTTTTGTATCTATAAGTTATTCGATATATACTTTGCGGTCGTTATGGATTTGTATTTTCTACCTGTTGGTTTTTTTTGGAAGAAACTGGACATTTTTAAGTCTCCGTTATCTCGTAGGACCTGTTTAGCTGCCGCGTTTTCGTAAACGTTACGAAATTTACCAGGATGGTAAAATAGTTGTTTTGCAACGAAAGTTTATACGTTCGTGAACTTTGTGTCTTTCAGCTGGTAAACATTATGATTGTCTGAGTTGTCTGTGTTATGGTAGTCTTTCATGTGTCTCAGCGTAGAATTTTTTTGCTATTTTGGTTGGTTACTGATGGAATAGTAAGAAGTTAAATCAAGCGACGCCTTAGAAATTTTCGCTTGTCCATTCAGTTACCCAGTAATGCTTAATTGCGCTCAGGAGAAATAAGTTCGTTTTGAAATGCTTCTCTCAAAAAATTTTTTTCGAAGGATAATTTGGTAATTACATGGGGTGATTCCAGTATATTTTCTTCTTTAACGTCTTATTCTCCTTAAACTTTTAATTTAAAATAAACGCAGTTAACCAGCACAGAGTAGTGAAACTGTTGTTTCTTTTCAGATTAAGATCATTAAACTGGTGCCGAATGAAGTGAACTGTTTTCCAGACTCGTACAAAATATTTATTTTTTGCGCCCTAATAACGCATTTTATAATATAGAACTCTTATTTTTGCAAGAAAGAATATCTTTAATGTTTTCTTCAGAGATTCCACCGGACCAGCGACCATGAGAAATGTTGCTATATCGTTGTTGAATTGCAAAAAATGCTAATTCCCGAAGTGAAGATGGACACATCGGAACGAATGCAATCCCTCTAGCGCAAATAAAAACAAATTGAGTCTTTGAACATACCTAAATTTTTTAATTTCATGAACGCTTTACATAATCGCCCTACACGAATGCAAAATCTGATAGTCATTTTCTTCCAGTAGATGCCACAGGAAGGAAACTTACAGCATAGAATTTTTGTTGGATATATCCTGGAAGGCGGCAACAGGAGGCGGGCACGACGCTGTACTCTTTCGAAAGGTCATCAAGTTCGATGCTGTAGAATCTGTGCACACCGTCACGAAAAACCTAATACTTATTATTAGTACCTACCGCCGTTTAAACATTTCAGCGACTTTTGAGAGCGAGTTAAGCAGAAACCCTGCAGGATTCTGTTACTATGGAGCACCAGCCATCTTCTTAAAGGGATACTTTCTCTTGCTTAATTATAATTTTCATGAGGACCAGGCAAAATTTCTAGTTTTTCAAACTTTCTGAGATAACGACAAGGAAGCAAAAAGATAAGAATTGAAGATAAGCAATAGTTCTGGCATTCAACAAAACTGTTCAAGACTTTCCAGATCAGGCGGTCCTGTTCAGTAAGCAATAGAAATTCGTTTATCTGTAGTTCTTTAGATTGAGAGTCCACTTTTACCTCAAATTTCTGCAAGAAAATTGCTAAAAAAAGAAAAAGAAAACTAGCTCATTTGAAGACACCAGGTTGATTGGGTTGACGTATTTGTGGTTAGATATTACAAATTTGCAAAATAAAGAAAAAATTTTTTTCGTTCAAGTGGACGGTTATGTTCACTTACAAATATCTGTTGATTGCTCAGGACAAAACTGGCGTACAACAAGAACTTTTTTGCAAAACAGAGGATCAGTAAGCATGTGGTTAAAACGATTGGAGGAACTCGATGGCAAGTTCGGGTAACGTTAATCCGTCTTTAATTATTACTTCTTGCTCTCTTTTTTATAAAATAACAAGGATCTCACCTCTAAAAGTTCCTCAACTTTGGGGAACCATTCAGGAGGACTTCTCAGTTTTACTAATTCGAAAAAAGCTAGTCCAGTTTAACCATGAGCTGAATGATTAGCAGCTATATTTACTTCCTTATGCTTTATCATTTGAATAACATTACACTAAGAGTCTGTAGTTTACCAGTTACGTTAGTATCTGGTAGATAAACTAAGCCTTAGCAAAAACTTCAGTCCCAGGTTTATGAAAGGATACTTTCCGAAATATCACCAAATTTAAAGTGTCGAGAGCCTGAGTTGAAGAAATGTTGATTGTTTTTTACAGACAATTTGAGGAAAAATGCAGCAACAAATAATACCTTAACCAAAGGTGATGTACCATTATGATTTTGAAGAAAACCAGTAAGACTCATACATAAAAAAATAGAGCCTACGAAAAATAAGAAGCCTTTTTGCGAGTACTTACTTTGGCAACACAAGTTCCGTATCCGACAAAAATGCTTAAAGGAGACTCAATGGCACCCATCCGATGACCACTACGACCATAGGTTTCACTTACTCCACGAGTTCCAAGCTCATTAAGCTATAAGTTTCATTGAGAAGATTAAAGTTATCAGAAGCAAAAACTGCCATGTCGTTGAACATAAAAGTAATACACGGAAAAAAGTACATAAAACTTAGCCAAACTCAGAGTTGTCAGCAGGGAACAAAACTAACATCGAGATTTGAATTAATTGACGGGTAATACGTACTCCATTTTTCATCTTTACCACTGTAAACCGAAATGGCATGATCGTCTGCTATCTTCAGAACTTTCCTTTCATCTCCGTTCAGGACAATTGGGAATCTACTGCAGCGGCTTTCAACTTCTTCAGCTCCTATTGTGTCGCTGGTGATAACAAAAGTCATTGTATCCTAAATACTTTTCGGGAAATAAAAATCTCTAATAAGCGTGATTTTAAATTACTGTTACTGTTCATGTTCTTTCAGCAGTTAAACTTTCTGAAAAAACTATAATTACATGCATGTTTAAGTGGCCAATTGAAGTATTATCATTATTGTAAGTTATAGAAGTCCCTTAACCTTCTTCAATACCCATAGCGTCAAGTTAAAAAAACTTATTTTTTATAAAAGCTCCAACTTCGAACTTTACGCTTTGTTTTATACTCTGAAATAAAAGTTTGTTGGCACTATTACGCTGTTCAGGGTGAGTTATGGACCGCAATCGACAATGGCTAGGGAGAATATAAAGTCACGAATCTTTTGGATCTTCTGCGACAAAAGAAAAAAGAAGGAAAAAGGTTCACAGACCTCAAGAAGTGTAACATTCCAGAACGGGATAGGGCCCATGACAACACTACGATCATACATGTACAGCTGCTTGTCGCCACATCCAATTACTACATTATCAAGAAACACCTTATTTTCAAACTCGTCACCGGCCGCTACGTCCAAATTATACATTTTCATCTCACCATTGCTACTATTTATTTGTAATATAGCAATTCGTGGCACTTCGGAATCCTTAAAACACTAGCTTACTTTTCAACGTTCAGAAAACAATGTGTCAAGCGAGTAAAAAACTTCCGCCAGGGGGAAAATTGATCAAATCAAGCAAATCTTTAATTGATAACTACGGTATAATAGAATCAATCATTTAGAATAGTATCTGTCCACCAACAACTCGTAAACAAGACCTTTTTCGTCGTCAAATATTATTTAAAGATAAAAAATGATGCTCTACTTTTTTTGCAAAAGTCTCAAATATGATACAAACATGTCAAAGAGGAATTTTGTAGTATTCCGACAAATCAATGTAGTCTTAGCTAAATAGTCTAGATCAACAAGGTTAAAAAATTTTAGTCGAAATTTGTTGAAGCGAAAAAATCTGATTGTTGTTCTACTGTTATCACAAACCAGTGATTCACATGGTCATCCGGCATATCAGTGATACCAACTATTACAGTTTCCACTTGCCTATATCAATTTTTTCCTTCAACCTAGTGTTAGTTTGTCTGAAATTTTTTTCTCTCCAATGCTTAATTTACAATATTCTGCCTCCGATGAGCTCAATGTTGAGAGACCTATTGATAGATATCAATTAAATACAGTGGGGCCTTGATGATTTCATCGTCCTCATCAATTTTGTTCTGAGTAAAAATTTTCCATCGATCAATGCCGGTGCTCACTGGAATACCCAACAAGATAGCTATTACGTTTTCATTCTTTTTTCTAATCTTATTGGAACCATAGGCAAAAAATTGACAAAAATTACATCATTGCATGTGCTGTTGAATGAGAAATTTATAAAATAAACGAACAAACAGAAAACTATAAGGGAAACAACATATACGTCAAGAAGACAATCTCTTGACAGTAAAAGAAAAAACTTACGAAAAGTGCAACGGCAAGAATATAGACGTATTCCTCAACGGGGCTTAATGTGTAGGATGAATAAAGAAGACTGATCACCCGGTAATCGACAATGCAGTGCCATGAATTTGGTATAAGCGAATGAACAGACCATACCTGGACTGTATCTGTACGATTCGGTGACACGTACAAAAGATGATCACGAATTCCAATTTTATTTAGACGATATTCCTGAAGTTGAGGTTCCGGCTCAAAAACTCTCATCTCATACTTTAAACAAAACAAAACGCAGTAACACAAGCAAAAGTTTTGCTGAAAAAAAAAGTTACGACTTGGGCGCCTTGAACAACTCCGCGCCGCATTATATGTGTTAAATCATACGTGTTTGTGGGGGCGAGATCATTCTGTTTTTGCTGTTTACACTAACAAAAAAAAAAAAGAAAAAGTTGAAAGAAGCAAAATGAAAGGAGAAGAAGCAGAAGAAGAAGCGAAAGAGAAAATTGGAAATAAGAGGAAGGAGAAAAGGAAAAAGAAAAAGATGAAGGCGATGTCAAATATATAATAATGTTTGAAATATTACAAAGTATTTTAACGGAACTGATACTGAGAAATATGAGGAAAATAGAGAAAGCTTAAAAACTGTTTATCAAAATCAATTTTTTAAGCAACAATAAACGATTGGTTGAAAATGATGGTGAACTGTTAAGCTGTTTATGATTTTTAATCTTCCCAACTAATTCTGGGCGAACTTTTTAAGCCTATAAACGGAGACAGAAAAATATGAAAATCCTATATTACGTTTATGGCAAAAATGTGCTGTTGGAAGGCTTAGGATTGGAAAAAAATGAAAACAAAAAGTGTCATTTCTATTTCACCAACGGATTTTCTTTTCACTCGTAAAATTCATTGGAATAACAACGGAAAAGTCAGCCAAAATAAGTTTGTCAAAATTTTTCCTGATTTTAAAACCTCTTCACTTTTGGAAGTGTATATTTTAGCGCCTATGCTAGTATTCTAGTCTAGAAATCTCTCTGTTTTCTCAAAACTTGATGCTTTCTTTTTTTTTAGCATGGTTACTTTATTCGACATATTTATTGGTCTACCAATAATTTCGGTCATTTTTTTTGTTCGTTGTTGTTAATAAATTATATAATGACCGGAAGTCCAAAATTCTTGACTAAACTGAGCACTACTGTGTTTTCTCCCCAACATTTCTTGGAGCTAATTGCTGCAGGGATTCACCGACACATAGGAGTGAAAACACTTCTGCTAACAGTTTTAATACCAGAATACATTGTATTTCAGATGAATAATTTTTTCTGAAACAACGAAAGTCAATGGCAAGCAGATTCGAAAAAACAGGTCAAACGATGCAAAACTTTGTTGAGCAACTTCTCATTCATCAATTAAAGCCTCGCGCTATCACAAAACTTCACCATTTCAACTCCACCTTGCCGACTCCGTTGCAGTTACCTACCATACGTCTTTCTGTTATACTGACAGACACAGATCTAAAAACAAATTAGCTTGAGGAACTACGAAACCAGTTTCAAACCAGCAGTTGCTGCCATCCTTCCGCCTTTGAATTTCAGTATCCATGCATTATTCATAGATATGTCACCTGCTAAAAAACTTCAACTTGCAGAATTACGCTTGTCACAAGAGATCGCTTTGATTGACCGTCACCAGCTGCTATTAGTCATCACAAGAAATCACAGAACAGTTTGCTTTTTGGTAGGACATATCCCCATTTCCAGTTACAATCCCTGCATGCTACATCCGCACAAGTCATCCTTTCGCGGAAGCGGACAACTTCAAACCATAAGCAGTTGGTTGCACGTTTATAAACACGTTAACCCCTTCTTCCACTGGTAAGGAAAGTTTCATTAAACGCGTATTCCAAACAAAAAAAGAAAGAGAAAAATGAACATAAATTAAAGGCCAAATAAGCTAAAATAGTAGAGGTCCGACACTATCAGTGGACCCACACGATGCTGTTATACACCTCATCAGGAATTAAAATCGCATTTACGTCCCCAGCATTTTTATTTTTTGTACTCACTTTTCTGCTGCATTAAATCTATACTCATAGTTAATTACATATTTCTTGGGCGTAAAATTTTGGGAACCTGTTTTAATTTGCAGCTTCTGTGTTTTACCTTTTTCTCTGTCTACACTTTACTTTTCAAATTCTGTCCTTGGTCTAAACTAGCTGTCAACTAATAGTTAAATAGTATGCTTCACCTTTCTTTGTAAATAAGTGTGTTTATGGGATAAATGCTGTAGTATATGGCTGCTTTTGAAAATGATTATGTGACTTTCCTTGCAGGGTCGAGCAGATATATTTATATGCCGGAAACGATACATATATATAGTGAATGGTCTGAACAGGCAGTTCCAGAAGTAGCGCATGCTATTCCACGTTATTTGGTCAGTAGATTATTTATACTTCTCTGGGCTCAAAAATCCAAACCATTCCAAAAAAAAAAAACGGTGTAAAAGTGTATACGTGTATGTATA